CTAGCTCTGCGCCTTGGGCCACAGTGGCCTTCGAAGACGGCGGACTGGTTCCACCTCAGCGATGGGTGCTTTCACCCCTTTCAACACTCCTCCTTGACTGTAGTTGATCCTCCAGATCACTGCAGTCACCCTGATACTAAGCTGTACCAGAAGGAAACACTTGCCGGCCTTGACCTTCAGCACACACCCTGCACATTGCTCGGGAACGAATGTTGACAGAATTCCGTTGTCCCCAACATTCTCGATAAAGGTGCACGCAGTCACCGGAATCCGTTAAGAAATAAGGGCCAACATGTGGTACAGGTACTTCTCGTACTTCAATTCGCACCTCTGGAGGTCGCATATACTGGAAGGCTGGCGAGGCTTGCACACCTATCGACTTCCGCTCCGGTGTAGTAGTCTGACACCCCACCTGTGGAGCTGCCGGTCGGACCAAGTCTGTAACCTGGTTGGTCAGCTCCTGTTCCACAGCCAGCTGTCGACGACGAAGTCGACGGACCTTCCGATCCCGTCTTTCATCTCCACTCCAGTTGTACCAAAGCCACCACATTGCCTCCCACATAGCCACCACGCACACACCCACCAGCAGCACAAGGATGTATAGCTCCACTGAGCCATCCAACTGAATGGGCTCCTTTGCGATGGTCTCCGCTCGGGCGGCCTGTATCATCATCATCGCAACCATCATCTTCGCCATGGAAATCTTCGTGGCCTGGAGGGTCACGTCAACGATCCGCCACAGACCATTCAATTCTTCCAGACGTTGGCGCGAAAACCCCTTTGTTAAGAGGTCGGCAAGTTGATACTGCCCCGGTGTGTACCGGAGCTTAACACATCCGGCCTCAACCTGCTCGTGGATGAAGGAAGCCTTATCCTCAAGTGCCTCGTTCTCCACCCAGCATTCGAAGAAGGATTTGCCAGAGCAAGGGCAGCTTGGTTATCAATGCACATTCCCACTTCAGAGGCAGTAGGGTCGAACTGCTGTATGATGGCCTGCAGCGATTTGCACATATTAAGAGTTTCCACAGCCGCCACTAGCTCGCACTCTGCCGTGCTCAAGCACGTGAATGGTTGTTTGGAGCTCCTCCAACTCACCACCACACCTTTCCAGGTAATCGCCATACCTGAGTGGCTTTTGTTGCCACTGGGGGCAAAGCTGCTATCACTCCATGCTGCAAGCTCATTCCCAGCCGGAGATATCTCCAGAGCAAAATGCTCCGTCCGCTGCAGGTAGGAGAGGACTTTGTCGGCAATGGCCAGAGCCCGAGGCGCTGCTCGTGTCAATAGGCTGCCCATAACCGAAATCGCAAAGCTCAAGTCAGGTCGACTCCTCTGACTAATCCACAGCAGCTCTCCACATGCCTCTTGGGCCATTCGTAGTTGTGCTTCGTCTCCTCGGGTTTCATCATCGAGCGCCTCCGGGTACAGCATCTCTCTCGGACATGGAATAGGGGATCTCGAAGTCGATGGCAGGGCATGGGTCCTCAGGATTTCCCTTATATAAGGCCGTTGGTGTATCCAGTAGGCAGTCCCATCCTCATTGGACTCAATCTCACATCCCAAGAACCGGATCCCCTTCTGGGGCGTGACAGTTTCTAGGCCGGAGGTCTTCCAGGTAGTACTGAAAGTAGCTGCCACGGCATTGAGAAGGGTCAAGGGGGCACATATCAATATCATCCACATACACCAAGATCGTGCCCTGGGGGTCCGAAATAGAACTGCCCGCCTCATAGATGAACCAAATGTTCGGCTCAGCCTTCCCCTGCACAAACTTCCACGAAGTGTCGCCGAGGGTGGTAACCATCTCCTTCATAGTACGATCACGAAATCCTGCCCACAACCGTGGCGACTGCCTTAAACCGTACATCCCATGGGTAAGCAGCCATTTCTCTCCAGGTTGCACGACGCCCAACTGAACCAGCACCGCCCGGGGCGTCACGATGTAGATGGTTTCCTCCGGACCGGTTGGCGTGGGAGTCAACATGAAGGCACCTGTGATGTCCAATCCACCAGTGCTCCATCGCTTTGCTGCAGCGTTAGTCAGGGTGCAACGAAGGCTTTCTGCTGCTGCACCACTGGCAAAGACATCCTCTTGATTGTCCTCTGCAAAGTTACCACAGCATACGATTCTGGCCTTTCTTTTGCACAACCGTGCCTCGCCCACCAGTGAATCTCCATCACCGCCAGGTGGCTTGAGGGTATACACCATCTTCGCAGGGAGAAATTGAACATTGGGCATCTTGGCATAGACCTTCACCTCCTCTGAAGAAATTCTCTTGAATCCCTTTTCCACCACACCCAACTCCTTCCGAATTGAGGGCAGCCAGTTAGTGGGAGATTTCCGGACTTCTGCTGGATCCACATTGTGAGTGTGTCGAAGAGGTTCCTCCAGGGAGGCGATCAACTCCTCAATCCCCTTGGTGTACTCGGGCTCCAGCTTGGCGACTCGTGGTAGTACTTCTTCTTCGCGACACCACTCCTCCACCATCATCCCCATATCATCTTGAAGGTCCGAATCCAAGATCTCCTGGCCAATGATTCCCTCATATGTTGCCCGAAGGTAATCCGCGAAATTGCCTGGGTTCTCCCCACTGCAAACTTGCCGAAGAACGATTTCATCATCAGTTCGGTCCACTTCTTCTTCTTCTCCACTCTCCGGAACATAGATCTCCCAGTCGCCCACATGCATCACATCTTCCGGCACGACACCAGAACCCTCCTCCTCGTCCCTTGCAACCTGAGCTCTACTCGAAGTCGCGAACTGCGGCGGTGGAGAAAAGGCCTTCAGCCAGGGTGTGGTTTCCCCAGCCGTGTCATAGTGCCCATGTTGGCTTGGACAATCGTACATGTCCTCTAGGAGTCCGATGCCCTGCACAGGAAATTGAAGTCGCCGAAGACCCTCCACATCTCCTCGTGCAAGCGCTTGCACTCCCGATGGAGTGTATCCAGATAGGATCCATTTAACCCCTGTGTCCTTCACCAAGGCATGCTTTGTTCTCGGGTTGAACACCACTGGTCCCTGGGACAGATCGACCAGGCGACCTTGTAGCACTTCACCGTCTGGCTTCTCATACTCCTTCGCTCGTTCTTCCCCACCTCCGTGTACTGGATGCTGCTCGTGGTTGCCTTCCACCCATAGGCCACTGTTCTTATCCCTCCCAATCTCCAGCACATAGTTGCACGAGCCCTTCTTGTTATGGACATCACGATGGAGGTTGGCCTCTGTAGTCCGGTGCAGCGCCAAAGAAGTCCACCGCTGCTCTTGATGTGGTAGAGTGGCTCGTAGTCGCCCTTGGAGATACTTGTTGAGGAATGTCGTGAGCCACGGTAGCCGTCGTGTAAGAACTGTTAGACCATGACTTCCTCCTTGGGCATAGGCACCAAGAATCATCGCAGTTCCCGAAACCGTGCGAGGGCATCTCAAATTCCCACGGAATGCTTCCAGTTTTTCTAGAAGTTCTTCACATCTCTTTGCATTGATCTCCCCACTCTCAACCGACTCCCTTGCCATCTTTTCCACCTCCTCAAAGTCAGGCCCAGAAACCTTCTTCATCGTGGCCTCCTCGTCGTCCTCATCCGTACGAGTTGTAGTACATGAAGCATTCGAAGGGCTACGCCGGGCGTCTTTCGTGATGCCCTTGAGGTTGGTGGTGCATAGGAGATAGGGGGTCCCTTTGGATAAGGAGGTAATTCATCAGTGCCTCCAGAAGCCGTCGGAGCTTCTCCTCCTGATACTGCAGGACGATCGCCGGGTGGTTGTTGAAGCTCCTCCACCTCACGGATAGCCTAAGGCCCTTACTTCTACCACCATCTGCTGAATCGCCGGGAGGATACACGATGCTTTCTTGCTGGTGGTGGGCGCCGCGAAGTAGATCGTCTCGGTCTCGATGGGCTCCTTAAACTTCTCCATCAACTTCTTCCATTCCTCCTTTTCCTTTGCGACTATCTGGGCAGGAGGTTGTTCAATCTCCTCCTCCTCCTCGACCTCATGCTCCTCCTCGGACAGGACATCTTCCTCCTCTCCAAGAGGCGGTGTTGGATGCCCGCGAACATCATCGTGGTGAACATGATGGTCCATCTTTGGGATGCGGAACGCCCCAACCACAAAGTACTTGAAGAACTTGTTGTCTGGAGATTTCCCCCACCCTCGTAGTGGTCCTGCGACATCCACGCTAAGGGTGTAGGCCATGGGATGAAGGGTGGCCCGATGCTGCTTGCCACTTGCTGCGTTCCTCACACACACAGCACAATCCCTCCTGAAAGGGAGGTGGTTCCTCATGACATGCAATCTCCATGCAGCGTCACTGGATAACTTGGCTATTCGCAGTCGGCCACTTCCATCGGTTCGGATCACACCGACCAACCCGGCGACGATCTCCACGGTTTCATTTTCCTCCACCATAGGATCCAGGATACCGGCTTCTTCCAAGTACCTCTGGGCCCTACCATCGCTCGTCCAATGGATCCCAGGCACTCGTGCCGTAGAAAACCTTCTCCTCTCAACCAAGAACTTAGGGCAAACTCCACCCCGAAGCTGCTGCCCTGCCGAAGCCAGGGCATGTAGAAGATGGACGCGATCTCGGTGGCGTCCTTCCTTTTCAAAGTCCTCCAGATTTGTGGCCACATCCTTGGAGATCACCGCCCCGATCTTCCCTTGCCCAGCAGCCCATAACATAATCTTCCAAAAGTCCTCAAACTCGCCCTGAACAAGCAGTGACCCAGCATTCACATAGACGACATCCGACATTCGCCCAATCTTAACCAGGGTGTCACTGCGCCTCTCGTATGCTGCAGGATCCCACCTCACCACCAAGTCGCCGCCCTCAACAAGCGCTTCCTGGTCCTGCGGTTCAAGGTGATCTTCTTCATCAGATCCCAAATGCCTTCACGAGGTTGGCGAATGATCATCTTCTCGACCTCCACCTTGTCGTTCCACATCCATGAGTTCAAAATGGCCTCCCTTCCCGATGCCACATTCCCAGAACTCACATAGTCGAGAAGGCAGGTCCACCAGCTCCTTTCTGCTCGCTGAAGGACCCTCAAGGAGTTCAAGGTGGTTTCATGGAGCTCCGGCAGATACTTGTTCTCCAACTTGTCGATCAGTCCCTGAGCCGTGGCCTCATCCACCTCCGGACAACCCCGAACGACTTGAGGTGGAATGATCTCACCCTCTTGGCTCACAAGTTGACACCGGTCGGCATCCCACCGGAGCTGATACCCAAGACTAGTGATCACCTTGCCCAGCGGCACAATCACTTGGGTCAATTCATCGGAGCTCAACAAGGTGCCCTTCACGTTCTGCCTCATCTCCATCTTGGAGTCGCCAGCCAAGGTGACTTGGACGTGTTGAGCTTGCGGTTCTCGAATGCCCCTGCGAAGCAGTTCTTGCTTGAGTAGGGTGAAGATTCTCTTGTAGCCCACGCCGGTCTCTATGGGTGCACTTGCTATCAGCAAAGGCCACGGCGTTCTCCTCCACACGCCATTCAGCATTCTGAAAACGACAGCACACACAACGGCATACTTGAAGTTCATGACACACAAAGTGTGTGCAAAGTCCGCGCACATGCACCACCCGTTGTTGCAAGTCTGCTCATCGGCCAACAGCCGACCCAGCGCCTCCAGGAAATGCGGCAGCAGAGCCACATAGCTGAAAGCTCGCAAAGTAACCTCCGCAAAATACAGTGGCTTGCAGTCCGGATCTTCGTACTGACGAATGTGTTCCTGAAAGGCAGGCCAGGAGTCGTGAAAAACTGCAGTTGTGTCAAGCTGGGAATTCTTCTTGCGTTGCTGCAGCACGGACCGTACGATGTCTGTTGCCACTCTGTCTGTGCCCATCCGGATGGCGACGTTGCTTGCTGTCGGTCGAAGACCCCGTTCCAAAAGAGCATCTATAGCCCTATGGACAGCTTGGAGTTCGGCCACAGTTGGCTGCTGCTCGAGCGGCTTCTGCTTGGCAGCTTTACGTCGCCCTGCGCCAGAGCAGTTTCCGGCTTGCGACACTCGCAGGCTGTCGAACTCGCGGGAAGAATGCCAAGAGCCACTGAACTGATACCAGGCTCCTTCCCCTTTGAAACAAGCGTCGTGCTCTGTGCATCTGCATGTGCATACCCAGCGCTCGTCTGCAGTGAACCGTGGCTGTGAGAAGTACCCACCCAGCAGCTTGCGCTGCTTCAACCACGCACGAGCAGCGAACCGAACCTCTTCTGGCGCAGTCTGTCCTGACTTCATCTTGTCACGCGAGATAACAAAAGGGTCTTGCGCGAGAGGCTCAAACTTGAGGTCACGCCGGACACGATTACTCCCTTCGGGAGTGTCCGCATCCCCGGCACTGGCGGCGTCCGCCATCGCTGAAGGAAATTCCCTCGTTCCCTGCTAACCAACAGTAAGGCTGTGGGCCTGGTGTACTCTTTGCTCGAACCCCTGAGCTCCGCCATGTTGCAGGCCGTTCGGGTTTAGGGTTTAGGGCTGAGAGCTTATTTTTTTTTCAGTTTGGGGTTAGGGGTTTAGGTTTTTATTTTTGGGGTTGAGGGCTTCTTACAATAGCCCGGAGTGGCCCTTACTCTCTTCTGTGGGGTTAAGGTTCCCTTGTTGCACTGCTTGGGCCAGCCCCAACTGTGCATCACGTCGCACGCTTGGAAGGTCTTGGTCTTCTCAGCACTTCCGGCACTCAGAAGACTAGCAAATGGCCATGTCAGCAAACGGGACGTGTGCCTTGCTGCTTCCAACAGACTTCGGCACCTTTCGCGCCATGAGAAAGCTTTCCTGCCAAGAACGAAGAGAAATGCACAAGCGCTGGTACTCTAGAGAGTCGGCATGAAGGAATTAGAGCGGAGACCATGAACACAACCTTCGCGCGTGGCAAAAGCAGTGACTGCAGAAGGAAGTGTGTTCTAGCAGCAAGTAGATAGTACTGCGGAGGAAGAGAGAGAGAGAGAGAGAGAGAGAGAGAGAGAGAGAGAGAGAGAGAGAGAGAGAGAGAGAGAGAGAGAGAGAGAGAGAGAGAGAGAGAGAGTGTGTGTGTGTGTGTGTGTGTGCGTCGGGTTTACGGACGCAGTGCCAAGCCACTGAAAACATGTTTCCTTTTGGCAGACTGAGGACACGGACCCCAAAGGCTACACGTTTCCGCAGCTTTGCTGCCCAAACACGTCTCCTGTGAGAGACTGAGGACACGGACCCGAAAGGTTACACGTTTTTTGTTCGAATTGAAAAAAGGTCCTTTGGCCAAGCGGCAAAGCGATTGGGCTTCTGACCCAAATCCCGAGGCTCGACTCCCGAAGGGTGCATCTGCACCCTTTTAAACACGTCTCCTTTGGCGGATTGACCGACTGAGGACACGGACCCCAAAAGGCTACACGTTTTCGCAGCTTCGCTGGCCTAAACCACTGAAAACACGTCTCCTTTGGCGGATTGAGGACACGGACCCCAAAGGCTACATGTTTTCGCAGCTTCGCTGGCCCAAGCCACTGAAAACACGTCTCCTTTGGCGGATTGAGGACACGGACCCCCAAAGGCTACACGTTTTCGCAGCTTCGCTGGCCCAAAGCACTGAAAACACGTCTCCTTTGGCGGATTGAGGACACGGACCCCAAAGGCTACACGTTTTCGCAGCTTCGATGCCCCATACCACTGAAAACACGTCTCTTTTGGCCAAGCCCAAATCCCTAGGCTCATTTCTTGAAGGGTGCATCCACAAAAAAAAACCACAGGAGAGAGCCCGGGAGACCGTAACGCTACACGTTTTCGCAGCTTCGGTGCCCCAGACCACTGAAAACACGTCTCCTTTGGCGGATTGAGGACACGGAGCCCAAAGGCTACACGTTTTCGCAGGTTCGCTGCCCCAGACCACTGAAAACACGTCTCTTTTGGCCAAGCTGCAAAGCGATTGGGCTTCTGACCCAAATCCCTAGGTTCATCTCCCGAAGGGTGCATCTACCAAAAAAACAAACAGGAGAGAGCCCGGGAGACCGTAAGGCACGGGCCCTCTCCTTTGGCCGACTGAGGACACGGACCCCAAAGGCTACACGTTTTCGCAGCTTCGCTGGCCCAAACCACTGAAAACACGTCCCCTTTGGCGGATTGAGGACACGGACCCCAAAGGCTACACGTCTTCGCAGCTTCGCTGGCCCAAACCACTGAAAACAACGTCTCCTTTGGCGGATTGAGGACACGGACCCCAAAGGCTACACGTTTTCGCAGCTTCGATGCCCCATACCACTGAAAACACGTCTCTTTTGGCCAAGCCCAAATCCCTAGGCTCATTTCTTGAAGGGTGCATCCACAAAAAAAAACCACAGGAGAGAGCCCGGGAGACCGTAACGCTACACGTTTTCGCAGCTTCGGTGCCCCAGACCACTGAAAACACGTCTCCTTTGGCGGATTGAGGACACGGAGCCCAAAGGCTACACGTTTTCGCAGGTTCGCTGCCCCAGACCACTGAAAACACGTCTCTTTTGGCCAAGCTGCAAAGCGATTGGGCTTCTGACCCAAATCCCTAGGTTCATCTCCCGAAGGGTGCATCTACCAAAAAAACAAACAGGAGAGAGCCCGGGAGACCGTAAGGCACGGGCCCTCTCCTTTGGCCGACTGAGGACACGGACCCCAAAGGCTACACGTTTTCGCAGCTTCGCTGGCCCAAACCACTGAAAACACGTCTCCTTTGGCGGATTGAGGACACGGACCCCAAAGGCTACACGTTTTCGCAGCTTCGCTGGCCCAAGCCACTGAAAACACGTCTCCTTTGGCGGATTGAGGACACGGACCCCAAAGGCTACACGTTTTCGCAGCTTCGCTGGCCCAAGCCACTGAAAACACGTCTCCTTTGGCGGATTGAGGACACGGACCCCAAAGGCTACACGTTTTCGCAGCTTCGCTGGCCCAAACCACTGAAAACACGTCTCCTTTGGCGGATTGAGGACACGGACCCCAAAGGCTACACGTTTTCGCAGCTTCGCTGACCCAAGCCACTGAAAACACGTCTCCTTTGGCGGATTGAGGACACGGACCCCAAAGGCTACACGTTTTCGCAGCTTCGCTGGCCCAAGCCACTGAAAACACGTCTCCTTTGGCGGATTGAGGCTTTGGCCGACTGAGGACACGGACCCCAAAGGCTACACGTTTTCGCAGCTTCGCTGGCCCAAACCACTTAAAACACGTCTCCTTTGGCGGATTGAGGCTTTGGCCGACTGAGGACACGGACCCCAAAAGGCTACACGTTTTCGCAGCTTCGCTGGCCCAAACCACTGAAAACACGTCTCCTTTGGCGGATTGAGGCTTTGGCCGACTGAGGACACGGACCCCAAAAGGCTACACGTCTTCGCAGCTTCGCTGGCCCAAACCACTGAAAACACGTCTCCTTTGGTGGATTGAGGACACGGAGCCCAGACCACTGAAAACACGTCTCCTTTGGTGGATTGAGGACACGGAGCCCAGACCACTGAAAACACGTCTCTTTTGGCGGACTGACAGCGTCTGTCGCGTGGCGAGTGTCGTATGTGCAGGTTGAAGAAGTAAGAGGTAGCGAGGAGTAGTTAGCGGAATACAATAGTGCTCCATTCAAGAACCAGTCCTCGCAGCACACGTCCAAGTCCAAGTTGCGCCGACCGAGCCCAATGGCTGTCGAACTTGCAGTACACAGCAATTGTCGCAAAGGACCGGGTGCAAGGTTTAGGGAGCACAAGGAGAAGAGTGAACGCAAACCTTGACATGCACCCTAGCGTAGTTCAACAACCACATGTTGCAGTTCTAAAATTTGTAGCGCGGTACGACCGCACCCTCATTCTTTGCGCTGTCGTACGCGTGAAGGTGGCAATTCTGAAAAGCTCCCCCCTCGAGTCCGTCGGCCGGCTCCCATTCTTCAGTGGTTCGTGGTTGTCGTAAAGGGTGTGTGGCTCCGGAATCTAGCAGGGCCCCCCAGGTCTTCGTAACCCCCGAGGGCAAACCACCTCTCCATTGCGGCAAGAAAGGGAGTGATGATGTGCTGCTGGCCAGCATCACCCAAGGACTGGAGCACCTTCACTGCAATGTCGGGGACCTCATTGATTTCAACCTTCTTCACCCGTACCGCTTGGTTGGTAGTTGTAGTCGGGGTAGTGGTCGAGGTAGAGGTGGGCGTCGAACCTCCCTGATTGTTGTCCTCGGCCTCCTTCTTCTTCCGATCTTGACCACCTCCAGGACTCCGACAATCCTTCACCTTGTGCATCGTTGAGCCACAGGCCAAACAGCGCTTCGACCTTTCAAGCTTATCCAAGGCACTCCAGGTGTGGGGAAATCGGCACAAATTTCCTCTCCAGCATCCTTTCTTTCCAGTGAAGAACTTGCACAAAGAGGTGCTTCCATTGGCCCCGGAATGGGCCTGATTGGACGAAGTAGATCCTCCTCCCGAACCATCGTTGTTTGTGGAGATGGCCCTGACCATGGGATTGTTGGAGTTGTCGATGGCCCTTACTGCCGCACCCAGTCGAGCCTGTTGCTCCATCTCCGCCTGCAAGTGCTGGAACAGGTTGGTCACTGCCTCCGGGGTGGGACACACATCCACCTGCAAAGTGCTGCGAACAAGGCTCACCCTGAAGGACAATTCCGGATCCGCCTTTACAACGGGCCCAGTCATCCTGTCCAGTCCTTGAAGAAGAACGGTAGGATCCGGCTCAGCGATCCCAATCGCCTGTGCCCTCCTCCTCCACAAAGCCCATTTCCGTAAGGCATCCACCGCCTCATGGGCTGATGAACACACCGGTGGGTGCTCCAGGCTTCCCAGGATCAAATTCTTCTCCTGTCTGTTGCCCGGCTGGTAGGTGGCCAGGAGCTTGCAAAGTAGTCCCACGGTGTTCACATCACGCATAGCAATGGCCTCCTCGCGAACCATCTGCGGAATGGCTCCCAGCATCATAGCCGTTGCCCGTCGTTCCACTCTGCTCCATTCCCTTTTTCCTGCCAGGGACGACACTGGTTTGAGGCGGATCTTCTCCAACGGGGTTGCGATGGCATACTTGTTGTACCATGAAGTGGCATCCTGGAGCACGCAGGACCACCATCGGGACGATGTGTCGCTCAAGTCTTCCATAATCGGGGTTATATGAGTTAACCAGTTCAACAGGTCAATGCTCCCCGTCTCAGGCACATAGGGTGGTAGTGCAGGTAGTTCAGACAACCCAGGCTTCACCGCCTCAGGCTTTGCGACACTGTCCAAGTCCTGCTTTCGTTGAAGAAGCGACTCAATCCCTCGGGCCATTGCTGTCAAGATTTGCTCATTAGCATCTCGTGGCGGGGGAGGTGGTGCATCATGTGGTACTGGACAGGCTTGTGGTACACTGTCTACCCTTCCCCGAGAACCAAAAAGACACTGAAAG